CATTTTATAATTTTTCAAAGCATTTTCACATTTCATCTGCTTATCACAACAAGCCTAGGAGAATGGGTGTTGCTAAAGGTTTTACAGATATTATCTCATTTGATCCTCATAACAGCCCTGGGAGGTAGGGGCCCTCATTTTACAGTTGAGAAAACTGAGGCAGACAAGTTAAATGACTTGTCCAGGTCACAAGGCTTGTAAGTGTTTATAGTCAAATTTGAACTGGGGTCACTCTGGCCCTAGGCCCAGAGCTCTATCCATGGTACCACCTAGCTGTCTGAGTGAAATTGAATAGAGTATAGACCAAATCTCAGAGGCCAACAGGCATGCACATAAGTAATATCCTATGTTGAGATTTGACATAGGGCAACTCGGTGGTGCAGTGTGTTAGGGGGACTTAACCTCTGGAAAACAGAGAAACTCAAGAAAACAAATTCAGGGGGCCCCTTAAGAAGTAGATAAGAGTGCCAGGCCTGGAGTCAGGAAGACCTGAGTTCAAACTGGCCTCAGACACTTACTAGTTGTGTGACCCTGGGCAAGTCACTTAACCCTGTTTGCCTCAGTTTCCTCATCTGCAAAATGAACTGAAGAAGGAAATCGAAAACCATTGCAGTATCTTTGCTAAGATAACCCCAAGAAGGGGTTATAAAGAGTCAGATAGGGCTGAAAACGACTAAACAAGAACAACAAACATGTTGAAATCTGATGGGCTCACAAGCCACTGACTTTAAGCAAAATTAAAACCACAGTGATAAAAAGGGAAAGCTCAGCGATTAGGATTTAAAATTAATAGTTTATCCAAAGACAAAGAATTCCCCCAAGCTCAACTATCTATATTATTGTATAAAAGGATGTTTTTATGTCATCTCTCACAATAATATTTATAATCAATTACTGTCATTTCCTTCCTACTATTGAGACTTTCCTAATTCCTACTCAATAAACAGAAGCTGAATTTAGCACCACTTACAGTCTTTGAACAAAATATAACACTAACAAACTGTTTAAAGTGGTGGTAGTGGGGTTCTATGGCTCTACAGCACAGAAGTTACTAAACAATACAATAAACACAATAATATTAACACAGTATTAGAAATATAAAATTATTTATATAAAAGGTTAAAAATCTTTTCCAGAGAATTATGCACATACAGTAATTTTCACTTGGAGGTTAGCTGAAGAGGAAAGAATTCATTTGTTTTTCTGAGTTGGATGTTACCCAGAAACATATGTTTTTGATCACTGCAGTATGATGGAAAGTATAGAAGCTTCTAAGTCAGGAGACATGGTTTCTTGTTCCAGCTCTGCTACTATAATGGCTATCTCATCATAACCAAGACAATATTTTCCTGGACATCAGTTTTCCCATCTGTAAAATAAAGAGGGTGGACTGGATGATCTATAACATTGCCTCCCCATAAGTAACACTTCTCAAACTTTATTTATAATGTTATAGCCTTAACTAAATTCCTTCAATTTTTAGATGATTAAAGAAGGAAAGAGGGAAAATGGTAATTCTACCATTCAGTTTACAGCTTAAAGGGATCATTTGGTTTTGTTTGGGAGCATGGTGAAGAGAGGAAGCAAAAGAGAAAAATACCTAATGGAAACTAAAAAGATTTTTTTCTCGGGCACACACATTTTCTTAGCTCTAACCTCTTAATAACTGACATTTCAATTGAAGAAATATACTCTTTTTGCCTTTATATTTTCAGGGAAAATCAATTTAAGGAATACTGTACAAATGCAAAGGAACAAGATTTTAGAAAATGTACTGGGGGATGGGAAGATTAGTCTACACTTTTCCCTGACTTGGTGTGTCACTTTAGTTGATTCAACTGCTTTAGTTTTCTCAACTACAAAATGATACATACTTCAATCAATGCCTGTTTTTGAGATGTACAGATTAAAGAGGTAATGCTTATAAAGTAATCTGAGCTCCCTAGAAAGTATCTCACAACACATAAGAGTGCCAAAGAAACAACTACAGAGGTGGAGCAAACATATTCCATTTTACTTCCTTTTTCCACTTTCTTTCATATATGGTTCTTCTCTTTATTTCCAATTGCCAAGTTGTTTATTCTTCTTCTCTTCTATCCACCACTAATTATACAAATGTTATTTACCACCTAACCATTTCCAGTTTCAGGCTCCTAGAAATCTGAAACCTGAAGCTGCAGCAAAAAAGTCATTCAGCCATTACACTGATACTATTAAGTCAATCAGAAAAAGATATACGTTTTTATTTTATAAAAACTGAGATTATAGACAGTACTAAAAATGCAAACTAGAAAAAAAATCTTGCAGAGGCAAGAACAACTAGTATCTGTAAGCGTTCGTTCATTCCTGGTGACTTTAATCATTGAGCTCAAAAACTTGGAATATAAAACAAATCTACTAATAATAAGCACACCATCATTCTGTGACTATTTCCTTGTCATCAGCGACTCTCATGAAGCAGTATAAATCTTTATTTGGGAAAAATTCTACAGGATTTAACTCAACAAAGATCAGCACCTATATCTAACTTCCAGGAAAGATATAAAATGAGTGCTGAAACTAAACTAAAAACTAAATAAATAAGAGCATATAGAAAGGTTCCATAAATGTCCCAACTATGCCACAGTTCTTAAAATAAAATGTTAAGGAGTCAATTAAAAATCCTAAAAAAAAAAAAAAAAAAAACCAACCCTGAAATATCAATTATCTCTAATGTTGAATTAAAAAATGACTTTCAAAATACTGCACATGATTGTTTTTCCATGTTCTCATGGCCTTTCCCAAGAAGTGAGCAAGTGGTAGAAAACTATATCATTCCTATCTAAAAGGTGTGGAGAAACTGAATTGGATGAAGGGTGGATGATTTGACTGAAGCTGTAAAGCAAGTCAGGGAACTCAAATCAAGAGCTCTGTTCTTCCTTATATTCACTAAACAAGGAAAAAACACACTTAATAAGATGCTTTATGTTATTCTGCTTATCACAGCAAGAATATATCAAGTCATTTCACACAAAATTGGAAAATGGGTACAAATTTTAAAAGAAACATAAGCCCCCAAGACCAACTAGAGTATTTCACAGCAAGGGAGAGGATTAAATCTGCTTAGCATTCTAAGCCTAATCTTGGCTTCAGCAATTAACCTCACTAATGCCAAAGAGGTCAAAATGATAGGTGACAGAATATTAATGTCCTTGGAGAGTCATGGGTTTTTAGAAATGGAAAGAGTTTTAGCTATCAGCTTCCTTAGTCCAAATACATTTCAGTGTATTTAACAGTGTTTTCTGAAATAGTTTTGCTGTGTTCAATTAATCCCATGAAGAATGTCTCCCAAAAAGAAAGCAAAGGATACAGGCAAAAGCACATGAATCAGCCATAATTTCCTATTTCAGATAACTTGCCATCGTATGGACATAAGAGATTAAAACTGATTTTGTTTGTAAACTCACCTAATGAGACTTGAGTGTTATTACAATAGCCTACCTATCACATATTTGCTCACAAGCTCTAATCCCAAATGACTGACACCATTGGTGTGACCACAGGCAAGTCTCATCTATGAACCTCAGTTTCCTCATCCGTGCAGTGTATATAAGATGATAATCACGTCGGTATTTATCAAACCAGAATCAAATGAGCTAATAAATTCAAAGTGTTCAGAAACCTGAAGAGTTATATTTATGTCAGTTATCAGAATTGTTAATTTCCTAGACTCGCCTCATGCCATTACTGATCAAAAGACATGGAAATCAAAGAATAAACTATCAAAATCACGAAATAAGCCTCGTTATATGTGCTACATTAATAATAATTAAGAAATGATAACAATCACAAATATATTAAGAGGATGTCTTTCATTTTAAACATTACGTAAACTTTCTTGGAGCCTTTGTTCCAAAAAATTTGCTAAATTCATTTTAGGAAGACAAAGACCTGGATTCAAGTTCCTCCAGACACTACTAACTGTGGAGCCTCATTATCATTTTACTAAATCTTTATGAGTCTCAGTTTACTCATCTGTAAAACTGGGGGTTGGACTATAAAGATCCTTTTCAACTTTAAATCTATTTTGTGTTCTCTTACTCTTACAAAACTAGGGAGAGAAAGGAATCAAACTGGGTACTTTTTTTTAAGTGGGGAAGGAAGAGGGCGGCAAAAATCCCTCTTCCAACATATTTTTAATCCACATAAAAATTTATGTCATGACCTGACTTCAGAGTACCATGAAGTTTCCGAATTTTTCTTTAAACCGCACAATCATCCAATTTAAAAAGGGCATTCCTGACGTAATGACTTGGGGGGAGGGGAATGACCAGTACCTGAAATGGAAGAAATATGCTTCCAAAAGGTAAAGGAAAACAAAACAGAACAAAAAACCCCCAAAACACTCCGCTTCCCTCCCGACCCCGAAAGGATCCTGTCACAAATCAGCCTCGTAGCCGACTCGAACGAGGTTATTTAAGAGTCCTCCGGGGTCACCTAAGGCTGGGGCATCCCTACCAGAGTCAGCCCCCGCGCCCCCCTCCCTTCTCCTTCCTGTCCTAGGAAGAAGCAAAGAAAGAAAACCCTCCCCCACACCTTTTATCTCTCCACGGGAGGCCGGGGGTGCTCCCCCACCTTGGGACAGTATCCATCAGCACCGTTTCCACAATCACAGAACTAACGCAGAGGCAGCGCCCCCCACCCCCGTCCCTGATCACACCCCTCCCCCCAAACTAGTCCCACCTCCACTCCCCGGGGCACATGGCCGGGATTCCCGGGGTCCCCAACAACAAAGGCATCTCCCCAGCCTTCCTTCCTCGGGCCTTCGCCTCCTCCTCCTCCTCCTCCTCCTCCCCTCAGCGCCGCCGGGCTCTGCCTCCTCTGCAGCTCCCGGGCCCAGGCAGTGCTGCAGCTGCAGCAGCAGCAGGAGAAGGAGGGGATAGGGCCGGCCCGTTCCCCCCGCCCCGATCCCGGGCCTCATTCTCCATCCAACATACCCCCCCGCCCCGCCGTGTACCCACCTGCACCTCCGCGAAGGGCTGGGCTGAAGGAACCGAGGGCGGAGAGAGCCTCTCCCTCCCGAGTAACCGGGAACGTCCGTCCCCCCTCCCACTCGGCGCGCACTCCCCGGATCTCTCGCCTCCTTCCCAAAGAGAAGGAATCCTCCGCCGCCGCCGCCGCCGGGGATGCCTTCTTGTGGCGGCGGGTCCTCTTCCCGCCCGGCTGGAGGCTCAGCGCGCTCGTCCGCAGGAGGAAGGTCGGACAAGTCTGCCGGCGGCGGCAGCGGCGGGACGGGGAAGGGGGTCGGGGCCCCGAGAGCTCCTTCCTCGCTGCCTCTCGCCCCGGGGCCCGCCTCGCGCCGCCCGGTTCGAGCGAGTCTTCTGCTGAGTAACGGCTCGGGCGCGACAGGCTGCTCTGGGGCCTTACGTCCCGCGTGGTCGTGATCACGGTCCTGGTCGCTGCCGCAGCCGCCTCTTTTTTTCGGATGCCCGGCCACAGCGGAGAGCCGGCCAGGTCTCCTCCGGTCAGGCCCCCGGGCTTCCTCACGTAGTGGGAGGGGAGAGTGCGGAGCGTAGGAAGGTGTGTGTGAGGCGGGAGGGGGGGTGGGGGGGGAAAGGGGCCAGACCCAGCGCTCGGTAAACGCGGAGTTAAGACACCGACTGACTGATGGCCCGGGTCCCACAGAACTCGGGCTTCAGTCTGCGCGGGGGAGGAGCGACCCATCCGGTCTCTGGGCTCCCGCCAATCAGGAGCCGCCCAGCTGAGCGAGACGCACAGGGGGCCTCCGGAGCGGCTGAGCGGTGACGGCAAGAGGCGGGGATTGCGGAAAAGGTAGGCCAATCAGAGCGGCCGTTGCGGGCCCCCTTCACTTTGATTGACGCCTGCTGTCGAGCCAATGAGATAATTCCCTTTTAGAAGAAAGCGGGACCAGTTCTCGGGGATTAGGGGGGAGAGAGAGAGAGAGAGAGGTTCGCCCTCGTGGAGAGGTGGGTGCTCGTGCGCTGAGTGTTGCTAAGGGAATGGGGAGTTTCTCTCTGGATTCTTTCCCCCTCCCCCGCCCAGGAGTCACGTGGACGATGGAGGACATGCAGAATCTCTTCCTTCCGGGTCAGCCCCGGAGTTGCGACGAACTCCGCGTGTCTGCCTCACCGCGCTGCAGCTGCTTCTGGCCAACTCCTCGGGAGCCTTTTTTTCTGGCTCCCCTCACTCCCTAACTTCCCAGTCCCATTCCTCCTTCCTTCTCCAGCCTCCCTGGAGGCGGCAGCTTCCGAGATGAGCTCCCAGAGGGGGAACGTGGCCCGTACCAGACCCCAGAGGCACCAGAACGCGTTTAGCTTCAAAAATGACAAGTTCGATACCAGTGTTCAGACGAAGGTAGGGGCCGACCCACCGCCATCGCTCAGCCGCAGGAAGAGCTGCATCGGAGGAAGGGGGGGAGAGACCGAAATGGAGTAAGGGTGGTCGTCGGGGGAGGGCACCTGAGGGCAGCGTAGAATGGAGGAAAAAAAAAAAAGCACCGAACTTGGAGCCAGAATGAGTGGGCTCTGAAGCCCTGGCCGTGCTGCTGTGAACCTTAGGCGAGTCCCTTAGCCCTTAGCCCTTACCCCTCCCCTGCCTTGTTTGCACCTTTACCACGAGGGGTTGGAAGTAGATGAACCTCACACCAAGGGCTCCGACAATCCATGACACTGGTCCAAAGGAATCTGGAGTTGGCTGCGGTGCAGGATTTCTTCCCAGGATGGTGTTCCTGGTTATGCTTCTTGAGAGTTTACTTCTGATAAAAGTGTTGATGGAATGAAGCTAGCTAGCTTCCAACAACAACAACTTTTTTTTTTTTTTTAAGGATAAGGGAGACCTGAGCATATTATGGGAAGGTAGGCCAGGAGTCAGAAAGGCCTGATAATTTGCCCTGGGATCCTTAATAGCTGTGTGGCCCTAGACAAGTCGCTTAACCACTTTGCTGCAGTTTCTTAATTTGTAATAATTTGGAAATAATGATAGCGCCTCACTCCCAGTGTTGTTGTGCGGATCAAATTGCAAATTTGTAAAGTTCTTTGCAAACCTCAAAGGGCTGTGTAAATGTGGCTATATAAAGGGCTTTATCATTCGCTGTATGTTCTTTTGAGGACTGGGGCTCTTTCCTTTTTTTTTTTGTTTCCTTTATAAATAAATAAGCACGTACTTTTGTGTAAGCCAAATGTTACGTATAAAGGCCATGCATTTAGTTGTTCTGATGATAAACATTTGTCCGCTTTTAAAGAATGTTCAATTTGATTCAGGAGCCATCTTATCCAAGGAGGAAACTGGGGCCCAAGGAGTTTAAATGATATGCCCAAGATAGCAAGACCCATGAACAAGGAACACTGAGTCCATAGACACCCGCCAATACTTTTCTTTCCCTTTGCTGTGAGCCCTACCAAAAATTTCCCAAAATTGACTAGGGATTGAGTACTCTAATCCCTTTCTCAAAAAAACAAAAAAAACAATAACCCAAAACTAAATAAAGCACCAGTCACTCAGCCCTTCTCTAGAGAATACCACCTCCTTCCAGGTATCTCTGTAGACCATTAGGCTTATTAGTAAATTGAGAGTTGATCGCTTCCTCCTTACGTTCTCCCCTCACCCCCCCCCCCCCAAAAAGGGGGAATGTGAGTATAGCAACAACAACTTTTAGGATAAATTTTTAAAAATTGGTAGAAATAGCTTTTTTTTTTTTAAGGATAAGGGAGACCTGAGCATATTATGGGAAGGTAGGAAGAAGCCAAAAGAAGAGATTGAATGTGAGGGAGAGAAAAGTGATGATTGCTCTAGCAAAGTCCTGAAGAAGTCAGGATGGAATGGGATAGAGGGCCATGGTTGAGGCAGGGTTGGGGACCTTCGGCCTTCAGGCCACACAAGGCCCTGTTATGTCCTCAAGTGGGGCCCTTTTACTGAATTCAAACTTAACAGAATAAATACTTTTAATAAAAGGATAATAATGAAATAATAAGAGGATTTGTTCTGTGAAGTTTGGATTCAGTCAAAGGGTGTCACTTAAGGACCTAGGGCCACATGTAGCCTCTAGGCCAAAGGTTCCTCACCCCTGTTTTTGGGGATTAGTCTTAGTAAGCAGTAGATAAATATGCTTTTTTTGTGAACGGAGGGAAAGTGATTGGACTTGCTGAGAATTTTTAAGAAATGGAGGGAGAAAGAAACAGAAATCTCAGCTTGGATATCCTTAGGTTTTCTCAGTGAAATAGGATGCTAGGTCATTTGATATGTCTGGGAAGTGGAGAGAAGAGATAGTTACAGATTTAAAAAAAATTTATTAACCATGTATTATGTGCATTGCAATGTGTTAAGCCCTGGGGATATAAATACAGGACAGATGGATGATCCCTGCCCTCCAGAAACTTACATTCTAACTACATTCTAATTCTACACATAAGGGGTGGGAGTGGGGGTGTGTTGAGAGGAAGGTACATTTGTCTCATAGTGGCATGGAAATACCCTGGAAGTGTTGTGGAGGCCTGGATCCAAAGAACATTGGGCCAAAGTGGGCATATCGGAAATCTGAGCAGTTCCGGGGCAGAGTCCAAGGTTCTAATTGGGCTGAAGTGGAGATATGGCAAGAGAGGAGAGAAGAAATGATACAGATGGTGTTGGAAAAATAGAGGCTTACCTCTCTCTTTTCCCTCTTAGCCTCAGTTTCCGCATTTGTAAAATGAGGAAATGCACAGTGTACCTCACAGGGTTATATGGCAATGACTTTATTAACCTGAGGGTCCCATAGCACTGTGAATTATGAGGACTCTGATAGTGATGTGGTCATTTATTCCCCTGGGCCTCAGTTTCCTCTTCTTTCAATAAAGGGAGTTGAAACAAATATTCTGTAAAGTTCCTTCCAAGTCCAGCACTTCATTCTTTTCCATTTCAGTTTCTTCTTGATGATTCTTTCTTGATCTGTGGTTAATTGGCGAGGAATAAAGGGACTATATTTTCTTTTCTTTCCATTCAGGTAGATCTCTATTTGGCTTGTAACCTTCTTCAACTCTTTGTTCCAATCTAGCTATTGGTCAGTTAAAAAAGACTATTATAAGTAACATGTAGGCTGATAATTATGTAATCTACTGGCTTCCTTGACAGCAGTTGTAACAAAAATTATTTATGTTACTATTTAAATAAACATAGGCAATGACTTCAGAGTGACTGGTAGTTCAATTTTTTAGATCATTTACAATAAATTGCTGAGAATTTGAGACAAACTAGTTGAAAATCAAAAAATTAGGAGTGGCAAAAATAGAATTGAATACAGCAACTTTGAAGTTTCTGAAATTCTGGAATGAAGTGGTATTGATAGGTCACATAAATAAATATCAGATAGGTCTTCTGGAGGATGTGCATATTAAAATATATCTTTGTGAAAAAGCATTGTAAATCCATATTTTCACACTGAACAATCAATAATAATAAAGTGACCTGATAAATGCCTGATTAAAACTTGACAGGAAAATTGTGTGTGTTTAGTCACGTAGGCATGTATCTGTGTGGTGTGTGTATGTGTGTATGTGTGTTTCTGTATTTGTGTCTCTGGATAACCCAACTCTAGGAGCAAACACTTCACTTTAGCTTTGGTTGGAAATGGTTTTACTTACTGTATGGCCAATGAGGTTGTCAATATTGAATTGGATGGACAGAGAATGGCAAAGATGAATGACTGTTACATGGGTTAAGACCTCATGCAGAAGCCTGTGAATTAGTTGATGAATGTAAGGGAGAAATTAAAAATGGCTTTGGAAAAATTTATAGTGTATATTGTACTTTTCATGTTTTATTACATAAAGTATTTGGAAAAAGTGTTTAGTAAGTAAATGCTTATTAATTGTCACACAATGAACACACAAATAATTTACAAATGTAAAAATCTGGGAGATTATATTAAATATTTATTCAGACTCATAATTATGCCAAACCTCAGATTCTTTTGTTTTTATATTTTTATATTCAATCAACTTTGAATTCTTCAAAACAGTGATGTGGAGCAGGACGGATAAGCTGCCTGTGAATAATCTGTTTATCCCCATTTCATGGGATTCCAGGGCCCTATACCATGAATGACGGGAACTTGCCTTGAGGATGAGGCCACTGGTCATCATAAAATCCTGTTGTAGGCTCTTTGCCAGACTTCTGTCCTGCGTAGCTAATTTGGGACCACTTTCCTCTTTTACTTAACTTCCATTCCCACCTAATCTTAGATTTTCTGATGGAGGAAAAATTGCTGAATATTGAAGAGAGACTTATAGTGAGTTACTCAAGAATTTAGTATGGAAATAAAAGTTATTCTGTTTTCTAGAATTAAGGTCTAGTTGAGTGGGTGATCATTTGGCAAGGAATATGGATACACTGCAGTTTCAGGAAAGCGGTATGCTGATATTGTGGAGGAGTTCTGGGATGACTTTGGTATTAACAAATAGATACATAAATGAAAAAAGTAGCTGGGACAACTCATTAGAGCCTTGAATTTGTATTTGAATGTGTACATTTCAATTTAATTTAATAAATTGTTATCTTAAACATTACTGTAATGAATGAACTAACTGTTCTCTCATAGTCAATGTACCGGGTTCCCCCCCCCCCATTTATTGAAAGGAAAGGACAATGTACTTCTGTTTCTGTTGTCTTCAGACTGTTGCCCTTAAACCAAATGTGGGGGTGTGTGTGTGTGTGTGTGTGTGTGTGTGTGTGTGTGTGTGTGTGTGTGTGT